CTGCAAAAACCAAAGCCAAAAAAAAAAAAAAATCTTAAAAAGGAAAAAAATATTTTTTAATCTTTCTTTTTCGGAATTTAACTACTTGAGTCCCCGCCACAATTTTAAAATGGTGCTGGAATATCAGGTATTCATCCGTGCACCATTTAAAAATGGTGGTCTCTGCGGCTCCTCTGGGCCTCCACACTCGCGCTCCCTGACAACCGGGACCCAGCACTGAGTCCAGGAGCTGAATTGAAACAAATACAGGTGAAACTCGAATAATTAGAATATTGTGCAAAGTTCATTTATTTCACTAATGCAACTTAAAAGGTGAAACTAATATATGAGATAGACTCATTACATGCAAAGCAAGATAGTTCAAGCCGTGATTTGTCATAATTGTGATGATTATGGCTTACAGCTCATGAAAACCCCAAGAACCCCAAATCCACAACCTCAAAAAAGTAGATTATTACATGCAATCAATAAAACAAGGATTGTACATAGAACAATATCGGACCTCTGAAAAGTACAAGCATGCATATGTACTCAGTACTTGGTTTGGGCCCCTTTTGCAGCAACTACTGCCATTACTTTTGCACGATATTCTAATTATTCGAGTTTCACCTGTATAAACAGAATACTTCCACATTTTGTTTACCTCAGGAGCATATTGATGTCACACCACTTCCTCTCAGTTTGTAGGCCAGCGAACCAAGAAAAAACGAATAGAATAAATATATACTGTATGTATCCAGATTTGCTACCAAGTTAAAGCTCTCTCTATCTAAAAAAAATAATACATTAGGGTAGACTACAAATCCTAAAAGATATCACATGTGGAACCAACACATCACCAAAACAAAGTGTTTTGGAGGTGTGAGCAGGCGATCAGTAGCTGGCACATAAGCCCCCTGGGAATAAGCAGTATCTTAGGCACAGATACCAAATCCAAGGGAGTAGTGGCAAACATTAGTGTTTATTGGTGATATTTACAAGAGTATTCACAGGTGCTGTGCAGTGGATCACAAGAAATCAACAAAATAAAACCTAGCCGTATCCCGGCACTAACTGCGCAAACAAAAGATATAGCTCCTAACTAACAGGCTGAGCAGGCCTACCGCTTGTCAGCCTCCACCTAAACTGTTTGCATGTTTTCCACCATACCTTGCAGCTCTCTCAGACAGGACTTGTCTGATCCCTAGGCCGAGAGCTCCGACTATGGGTTCCAGGTGAGATTAAATTGCCAGTGGAGATGGGAGTAAACCCTGCACTGGAGCGCGGATCAGCAATTC